AAGGGAATCGCAGCATCCGACGACCCAAACCCGCCCGCCCTCGACAACTTCGACTCTACGATTTGCTTCCGCCAGTGATATTGCATTGGCGCAGTCTTAGTGAAAGGGTGCAGATAGCTTGGCTAGGGGCTTTCGATCGATCGACTTGAATCGCATCTTCTGTCGGAGCGAGGAGGATCGGTTACGACATCGCAGAATAATCCTCTTTCTTCTCATTCTCATTTCGGCAACCGGCGTGCGCGAAACTTTTTCCGACTCGAGAGCAACCCGCGCTCCCAGTAACTGCGCTAGATTTTTCCGACGAAATCATCTTGACTTGGATGTGAAAAGGTCGAATTGAGCGACCGGACGTGCGAAAACCCCGACCAGGAACGAAGGCCATTGACTTAACACCAAACATCCCCACCCCTTTTCGTCGGTCCCTGACATGACCGTCACCGTTTTGGCGACGCCCACCACCACCACTACAGCTAAGACGAAGCGTCGTGGACCATTACTGGCTATCGATATGGCTACGTCCCAGGCGCAGGTGCGTCCTGCGGCGCCTGGAAGAGGCGGGGGCAGAAGATCGAGTCGGCGGCTGAGTAAACAGGATAAAGGCGAGGAGAATGCGACTGCGACTGCGAATGGTACAAGTGCTGGGGAGAAGAAGCGGAAGTTAGGTGAGTCGCTTCGCTTTTTTTATTGTATTATTGAGATTTTTCGGTTCAAGGGTGTGGGTAGCTTCGATGGATTGCAAGTCTGGTCGGGGTTTAGTGGACGATTTGGTCGGGACGTGCTAATTCTTATTTTCCTCTGTAGTACCTGTTGATGAGGAAGAAGACGATGGTTTCCAATTTACGCGTATCGCGACAAAGAAGCCCAAACCGTCGACGGAAAAAGTCCAACCTGCACTTTTGCCGGCAATTTCGCATCTGAATACAGCGCCGCAGCCATCTCCGAGAAGGGGTCGACCACCGAAGAAGAAGGTGGTGGAGGAGAAGGTGGAGCCTGCTGCGGTTGCGACGGAGATTACTACGGATACCACGAATACGAGACGAAAAACGAAGCAGAGCGAGGGAACGAGCAAGAGGACAACACGGGGAGCCGCGAAGGCGAAGGAGACCCAGCCTGAGCCTGAACCCGAGCCTCAACCGGAGCTGGAGCAAGAACCGGACTCGCAACCTCTAGCCCCGGCGCAGCCCGAGCCACAGCCAGAACGTGCGAAACGCTCGACGCGAAAACGAGACCAGGCGGAAACGGTTCCCTTGGAGAAAAAGCGGAGGAAAGGCCGACCTAGTAACTCTAGGACGGAGGAACAGCAGAAACAACAACAGCAGCAGCCGACGCCACAGCCAGAATCAGAGCCTCAACAACAACCACGACGAGCGTCGCTTCGCAATGGGTATGTGTCTCCAGAGCCGCCGCAGACTGGCACGGCCACGATTTCATTGCCGTTGGCCGACACACCGGTCATACAGAGGAATCGGGAGATGCGAGGGAAGAAGTCCGTGAAGGGGAACAACCGGCGGAGTAGTCTGGGGATGCGAGGTCGGCGAGCGAGCTCGCTGATCGACTCTGGGGCGTCCAACGGTGGGTTTCATTGATCCGCAGGTGATTCCATGGCATGAGTGGCTGACGGAGATAATTCAGCGTTACCACATAAGAAGGTTAATACGGCGGATTTCTATAAGCATATCGCCGCAGACTTAACGGAGCCGCGTCGAATGCGGCAGCTTTTGATCTGGTGTGGTACGCGAGCCATAGGCGACAAGCCTTCTGGGTCGCGCTCAGAGGATGAGAGCGCTCGGCTAGCGGGTAAGTGCACCTTTCCTGGGCTTGCGATGCACATGCTAAGACAACCTAGCACGTGTTATACAGGAGGAACTACTCAAAGATTTTGAGTCGAACTCCACACTCTCTAATTGGTTCGAACGGGAAGAGCTGGATCCTCCCGCGGTGGTGGTTAAGAAGGAGAACCCGAAGAACATCCAGAATGCGGACAAAATCAAGGAATTAGAGGAATTAATACAGAGGTACGTCTCGTTTTGGGGCTCTGTGTTGGCCAAACTGCTGACGTTTGACAATAGGCTACAAAAAGAGCGGCATGCTCTCAATGCTTTGTTACGGCCGCCGGATATTCCCCGTATCAAAAAACAGCCGCTCGAGACAGATCCCAGCCAACCTTCACAACTATCATCATCCAAACCTGACGAGCCGATCGATTTATCGGCACTAGACCCGTCTCAGTGGAGGATATATGCCCAGATCGACCCGGAGACGGTCAAACAACAAGAACAACTACCTCAACCACAACCACCACAGTCGACGGACGGCGAACTCATGGACACCGACCCGCCATCAGCAGCAGCAGCAACAACAACAGTAACAACCTCCGCAACAGATACCTTCCTCCCTCCAATGTCCCCCACCACCATCTCCACCCGCCTCTCCCGAGTAACCAGCACCCTCGCCCCGACACTGGACTCCCTCGCCGCCGGCATCCACAACCTCGAACTCTACCGCTCGACCTCGGACGCCGTCTCCTCCCAGGTCCTGCGCATCTGCGCCGAGCGCCTCGAAGCCCGCGACGCTCGCAACAGTATCCGCCTCCCGGCCAGCACCGACTCGGCGGCCGACCACAAGGACCTCAGTCTCCGGCCCCGACCCAAAGAAGACCTAGGCGTGATACTGGGGGCCTTGAGCCGAGTAGAACGACGAGCGTGATATGTATGGTTGCGTACGATTACGAGCGAATGGAATTACAAATATTATGCGGGCATTTTCAAGTGTTTCCTGCCCGGTTTTTTTCTTTCTCGCTTCTGGTAAATCTGAATCCTAATACCAATACCTTTACATGCTGCTGCTGCTGTTATGGGCTGGACCTGGTGTAAGCCCTTTTTCTCCCCTTGTTGTTTGTCTTTGATTTCTCGGGTTCGTTTGGCGGGCATTGGGGTTCGTTTGGTTTTTTTCTGCGGGTGTCGGGATAGGATGGATGGGATGGGTTGAGCTGGGTTGATTCGATTTGAAGCACTGGCACTAGCACTAGCCATGGAGTTTGGGGGGGTGAAGTGTGTTGATACGTGGTGGGTGGGTAGATCAAATCGAATGAGCCATACCTACTCAGCTCTATTTCCCCGAATTACTATTCATACTGGTAAATTCGATGGAGGAGTAGAATCCATGGATGCAGGGATGCTCAAACAAGCAAGAGATACAAGTAACCACTATATCCAAAATCCATGCTATTGCTAGAAGTGCCCTTCCCGCCAGAGAAACAATATGTATATTCCCCCCACGCAAAACCTGGGGTACTGTACAGTACAAGCAGCGCAGTTCCTTGCTGGGAACTCATCTCTCTTGCTGCACTGGACTGACCACTACATACAAACAGCCTTCCACCACGGTCTCCCCCCCTTCCACCGAATTGAACTCTCGTTGGAGACAGCGTACATCAACATAGGCGAACCCACAGCGCCGGTCATATAGCAACTCCTGGTCTATCTTATCCTGTACAATAACGCCGGTCCGGTACCTCACAATACAGTCGCTGTCCTTCCCGTGCAAACCGCGACTACTGAATGCGTCATCATGCATGAATGAAGCCAGAAACCCCGCGGTTGGGTTGTTTTTGCTCGCTTTCTCCTGCAAGGTACGGAGTGGAGGAGATTGAAGTTACTGGACGCGATTTCTGAGGTGATGGGAACGGATGGGCGGGTGATGCGGTGGTTTGGTTGGTTGGTTGGCCATTATTCTACTCCGTACGGGTGCTTGGATCGGGGGGCTGTTGTTTGGTTTAGGGGTTTGGGACTAGAACTAGATGTTGGTATCGTTGTTGTTGTTGTTGTTGACACCCTACTGCATGAGCTTTGATCGGGGTATCTTGGAGAGGGGAATTGGATAGTGTTCTAGTGATTACAAGAAAAACAGATTGGGGCTGAAAGTTTCATGTGATATCTGTTGTGATGACGGGGAACTATCTCTGAGATGAGATTGAAGAGGCTTGGACAATGTCCTGCGTTGCAGAGGTGAATGGGGCTGGTCTGGAGCACTTCTGTTGAGGCGATTCTAAGACATGGGCAGCTAGGATTCAGGAGAAGGTTTGCGACCTGTTCAGATGATTGAGCTAGCTGATGGCTACGAAAGATCTAGAGGGGTCGATTCTGGCAGCTGGAAAATCTGGAAAGAGGATTCAAGACAAATCAATATGCTCTTGACTCCCTAGACTTCACTAGGCTAAATGTCATGCGAACGGGGCATGGTTGAGGGGTCAATGGTGACGAATCGTAGAGTCATTGTTTGATTCGCCGTCATGGATGTCAAACTTACTTACATCCCCTTCTTGTACTGTGATTGTACAGGGGTTTTGGCTGCCTCTGCTTGGTTAATGTCTCGTCACACCGAGCTAGATGATCTCTGTCTCAGTACAAAGACTCAGTAAGAACATATCTTGGACTATACATACCGACAGGCTGAAAGCTAATCCCTGCGCGCAAAATGCACATATTCCTGTTCCAGGCGCAATCATGATGAATTATACTCCCTCCAACGGCAAACTTGTTATGTCTCAGAGCGCCTTGAGAAGATGGCCTACGTCACCCAAATTACCCTGACAACGGGATGGTGCGGATTTCGCCACTATCCCTCGCACTGACAATCAGACACAAGCTACCTCCCTGCCTTCCCCACAGTGGCAGCAGCCAGCGCGCAGACCTTCATGACAGGAGACTTACAGCCGCCGGCACGGCTGCATTACCTCCCCGGTGTGACACCTTTCGCTCTCATTCCGGTTTGCAGAATTAAAGATTGGTCCTTGCGCTCATGCAGGTGACACCGCCATCCTCGGCAGCACTGCTCAGCGTCGGACGGGAGGGAAGTCGAACCCGCTCTGGGTTGAACAAGCCCGGTCGCATGAAGCTGGGACTCTGGCGGGCGTGTAGGAAATGGTAAACAAATACAGGCCTAATGGCTGCAACATAGATGTAAGTAAGCTCCTAGAGTCGATCTGTCAGTGTAGCATTAGATAGGCACGCAGCGGACTTACCAGCCACCGTCCGAGCACACAGAAGATGAGACCAGGTTCGGCTATGCGTGGTGTGACCTGGCGCCACGCAATCTACCAAATGCGAATACCCACTGACATCATGAAAAGGGGCGTCATACAAGCCAAGGGTGCTCGAAAGCAGCTCGATGCAGGTACGAGACAGTGAAGAATGGCAGAGGAGACCTGAGCTGATTCTGGTGATGGAGCGTCCTCTGTCGATTCTCCCGATAGTGCGGTGGACTAAACAACAAAGAGGGGGCAGGCTATTGTCGACGTCGCTGGGATATGTTCTATATTTATTCTCGGGGTATCGAGAGGAATGTCAAGACCACACTGCAGCTGGGAGTGGGGCGATCTTCAATCATCCAGCCTAGCTCTGCGCATCCCGACAAGCGAGTAGATAGTCAATCCTCAAGTGCCACTGTCTCAATCGGGTTCCGACCGGAGATCGGCGAAATTATCGCCACGCCGACCGGTAAGCAAGCCTCAAGTAAGGAGTCGAGCCAGAGGCGTCTTTTTAGTTCCAACGTCGAAGCTTGTCTGCAGCCGGCGGACTTGTGTACGTAGGCAGGTGTAAACTTCCCTGGATGCAAGTAATATAAATGAACAGAAGGATGGAAACAGACATGAAGAATCTTGTGGCATCTGTATCGGGAACTTTTGACCTCCAACAAAGCCACCAAAGGTACTCGAAAATCGGGCAGTGATGCGGTGTTGCTGAATCCGGTGAGCCGCTAAAAGTAGGTATTGTAGATCCCCTGACTGAACCGTGCAGTGGCACTTGTGGAGTGCAAAATCCAATACGGAGATGTGATTAGCCCCAGGATTCAGGACCCATTCTGATTGATGATCAGGGGGGGAAGGGAGGAGGGGGCAAAAATACTCCATGACAGCAAGGGAGATCCATCCATCCATAGCTGGCTGCATGGCGAATATCTTGCGGATCGTCCATCGCTTGAACGCGCGTTTTACCCCACACTCCTGCTTTCGCCAGTCAGAGGTGCATGGTCATTCCCCTATACCACTTAGACCTGCGATGCAATGAGCTCGGACAAAGCTTACCCTTGGAATCTAACCACAATTAGTATATGTATACTATGTGGGTAGTTCTAGTAGATGTTAGTGGAGGATCCAGGTCTGTGGTAATGCTTGAGAACAATCCGTAGAAGATGACAATTGGAAAGGAAGAATTCAATGGACGAGAGAGAACCTCAAGAGAAAGTGACTGAGATTGAGATTGGGTTTGATTGGGATTGATTGAGATTGAAGTCTACAGGGACCGCCCAGTCCCGTTCAGGAAGCCGCCCACCGCTCCTTCAAATTTTCCTCCATTTCCTCCAACCTCGACCTCAACTTCAACTTCAACTTAGCAGCTTCACTCCATCAATCCCCTGATCAACTCTCCTCTGTTATTCTTGTCCCTCTCGGTCGCCGCATCGAGCCTCGCCATATGATAAATTCGAAAGAGGTCTGCAGAAGCTTCGTCATCTGCCATGGATCCGCCCCCCCTCTCCTTGAGTCCCTACTAGAGCCGCTGCCGAGATCCCGCACTACGATATGATGTGATACTCGACCGAGATAGTCGAATGCGGCCCCCATTGCAAGCTCATTCATCCATCCATCATCTGTCAACGATTAGAAATCCGACCAGCTGACGTGGAAGATGGTCGGGAATGGCTCAATGCACTCCTCCCGCATCAAGAACCACGGGCTACTTGTCCAGACCGACCATGGGTCCGATGATGTCCCTGAATGACTTGTTGACGGTCCGGTTCGGGCACTAGAAGAAGTAGACGAGCGTCGTTGATCTTTAGTTGCGGATGGGAGGATCCTCTTTCCGGACCCAGCAACGGGCCCACATCCCCGGGGGTTTCCAGTTTTGCCTCTCGACCTATTCAGGAGTGACAGACAATACAAATAGATGTGAAACCAGAACCCACCGCGCGCATCTATGAACATACCTCTCGATCGACTCAGCCCCATCAATCAGCTTTCATACTTTCCCCAAGAGGTTCCAGAAGGCTGCATCGTGGATCCAGACGCGTCTGTCCGTGGGGACCCAAAGAATCGACCACAAACTAGTGGACAGTCTGCCTAGTCTCTACGCGACTTAGACGAAACAGTAGGAACCAATTACTTATGCAGATTCTCGAATGCACGACTGTCTGTGAAAGCAGCCAAAACTCAACGCAGGCCGAAGAAAACGCTGTCGTCATCGTTAGAACAGGAGTCTCCGGACTTGTGAGACAATAGCCCTTTTGATGAGCTGTCTTGGGCTCCTTCAGTTAATTCCCCTCGACGCCGTACATCTGAAGCCGTCTTAGCCAATGTGACTCCTTTATGAGCCACAGTGGTACCGTATCGTGGAGCCCGTGGAACCAGTTCCGTCAAGGAATGTGGTCGCGTCCCAGATAGTAGCAAGACGGCGCGGCCCTGCTGATAGATGCCTGAGCGCAGCTGCTGTAGTCCTTTGGGTGTCGCCCTTATTTGATTTCCTGTGATTGTCTGAACCTCTTGACATGCCCTTCGCTTCTTCGATCCGGTTGGTACCAAGCTATCGGACTTTAGGGTTATGGGGCTGCACCAGGCCTGGAGCTGGGACTCTCCCTAGCGCAGCTCAAGAGACTTTCCTTGAATATGTCTCTTCGTTTTGCTCGACTTATTCTGAATCATTTTTGCCTGGCCCGGAAGTCGCTGATCCATTGGTCCGGGACTGTCATGACCTGCAGCGATAATTAATGCAACGATTCATAAGCGTGGCGATGATGCTCCGCAGCTGAAGCTACTGTCGATACAAAACTTTTCCTTCCCCTTTCTCTGGCATCTTTTGTCCAGACGTCGAACCCCCAGATTGCAAGAGAGTATCCTGAGTCATTCTACTTCCCACGGCCTTAAAGTCATTAAATCCTGCTACACAGGGCCAAGGACAGATCGCGCACATCCCATTTCTTCATATGATACTCAGTGTGGTTTGAGCTCCGTGATTGGTCCTCCCTTCCTTCATCCGGAGCTCACATATTCTAAGATTCGGCTGCTTTCGTCCATCAGAAGATCGGACTGTCTCTGGCACTTGCCGTTCCCACCACCTTCAATTATAATACCTCGGGCTTCATCGAAGCCACGGCTAGTGTACAGTGCAAGCTCTTATCTATCTCTCTACTCCTCCCCCTTTCTTCCTTCGCCTGCCTCCTGTTTCACCCTGCAGCAGGCTCAGAATTTTTCTGGAGGAGTCCTTCAGGTCAGCACTACGAATCGGGATATGCGTCCGTGACGTGCCTTCATTCCTTACGGCGGGCCCTTCATCCCTTCCAACCGACCTACCGTCGCGACCGCTCTCTGCTTTTTGAGGTGGCTTGGATCGCGAAGCCTTGCAATCACCATATCGCCTTGTTTATGCCCGCCTCATTCCTTCACCTTGGCATAATTCTGCGAGGTGAGTTTCAGTTCGTAGTTAAGCCCGATCGGTGATGTAACGCGCAGATCTGACATGGTTGCCAGGCTAGTGAATATAGCTACGATTTGCTGGTCACGGAGCTGTGCCTTCGAGGGGCTACAGGATCAGATATCGCCCTCAGAACCAGAAATAGTGCATCTCTCAAACAAGGTCTGTGTGGAGAGTACGGAGCACAGAACTCAACAAGTGGAATATTTCGGAAGTACTAAAAAAGACCCAGCAGGGTGACACAGAAAGTACTAGAAATTCATTCCGCTTGTTCAAAAGGAACTCTGTCCAGCCACGTAAATCACACGGGAATGGCTGGTGGTTACTTTGATCTTCCTACTGCCTCTTCAAGGCCTCGAAGCCTTACCGATCTGTCCGGGAGGACAGGCAGATCCTCGCAAGGGCCGCGTATATCCTCTCTCTCGATCCCCAATGAGAGGCTTCAAGAGAGTGCAGCGGATCCTAGCGGAGCCCAGGGTAGATTCCGGAATGCTAGAAACCCCAAGAACGCGAATCGCGTCAAATTTACTGTCAGCGAAGCTGGTCTTGGCGACAGTACTTTGGGATCGACGTCAGAGACCCGGCTTGATGGAAGGGGTTCATCATTGCCTCAAAGACCGTTACCCACAGCTCGCATTCCAGTCGCCGACAAGGTCACTGCCAACCCCCAATCAGTGCCCTTGATCGATATCAGTCCTGGCTCACCAGTCGATGTCACGGGCCTAACTATCCACTCAAGGGCTAGCTCGCCGGAGATTTATGGTGATGATGAAGTCAGAAATGAGAAGGGGAGAGCTATCCACTCTGCGCAAGAGAGGGCCCAGCGATTGGCCACCTTACTCAGTCGTTCTCCTAATTCTCCTAGGCCAAGCCGTCGGAGCAGTCTGCCGTCATCCATAGACTCGACTCCCTCCGAGGTGGTGCTGCCCGCTGAGCTTGGAGATGAAATTCCCATGATCAGCCTGACTGAGAAAAATTTCGAAGACTATACAGACGACGATGAAGTTGGCCCTCTGAACGGTCGACACTCCACGCGTTCCTCTGAAGCTCACAAACTAGTGCAACAAATGACTTTAAAGGATTTCAACTTTCTGACCCGGCTTCAAGCCCCGTCTCCAGGGTTTCGCTCTGGACAGGTTACTCCCCTCGAAGACAGGGATTCCGAAAACTATGTCGAACGGCCATCTCAATATCGGAGTGGAATTCTCTCATCTCTGCTGAAGCTTCACGAGCACTCGGATGGCCACTACTCTATCGGACGTCATGGACGTTCTCGCCGGAGTAGTGCCGGGGAAATCAGTGGTAGAGGGCTGTCTCCTGATCCAAGTTGGAAGTCCCAACGTCCGAGGAAATGGTACGAAAAATCGCCGAGCCAGTCTAGTCTCTCTCTAGCTGGTTCCACCGCCAAAAATTCATCTAGCTCCCCTATCGCGATGCTCAAGCGCTCACGGAGCAGTGGTGCGATACCAGGCGCGCCTAAGCGAATGGGCAAGCCACAGCTTGAGGATGAGATCCGGATTACAGTTCATATCGCTGAACTTCTCTCGCGGCAACGGTATTGTATTCGCCTCTGTCGGGCTTTGATGAAGTATGGGGCACCAACGCATAGGTTAGAGGAGTACATGAGGATGACGGCACGGGTCTTGGAAATCGACGGCCAGTTTCTCTATTTCCCGGGATGCATGATCATCTCCTTTGACGACGCTGCCACTCATACGACGGAGGTGAAAGTGGTGCGGGCCCCTCAAGGTGTTGACTTGGGCAAGTTGTCCGATGTACACCTGATTTATAAGGAGGTGATCCACGACGTGATTGGGGTGGAGGAAGCTATTCAACGGCTGGATGAGATTATGAGAAAGAAGAATAAATACCCTGTCTGGCTTCTGATTCTGTTGCATGGCTGTGCTAGCGCCTGCGTTGGCCCCTTTGCATTCAGTGCCCGACCCATCGATATGCCGATCGCGTTTCTGCTTGGATGCCTCTTGGGGACCCTGCAACTTGTGCTATCTCCACGATCAAACCTCTATCAAAACGTTTTCGAGATATCGGCTGCTGTTCTGACCTCATTTCTGGCACGAGCTTTTGGCAGTATTCGCCACGGAGATGGACGACTGTTCTGCTTCTCGGCTTTGGCCCAATCATCAATTGCGTTGATTCTACCAGGCTATATGGTACTGTGTGCCAGTCTGGAGCTGCAGTCCCGCAGTATTGTGGCTGGCTCTGTCCGGATGGTGTATGCCATTATATACTCTTTATTTCTTGGGTTCGGTATCACAATTGGCACTGCGGTGTACGGTCTCCTCGACGCAGATGCTTCCTCCGAATACACCTGCCCCCCAAGTCCCATTACCAACGAGTATGTGGGACGCTTTCCCTTCGTTATCCTGTTCACGTTCTGTCTCGCTGTGATCAACCAAGCGAAATGGCGGCAAATGCCGATGATGCTGGCCATCGCATTCACGGGGTTCGTGACAACCTACTTCGGCACCAAGCGATTCTCCACCAGCACCCAAGTGTCCAATGCTCTGGGAGCGTTTGTGGTCGGTGTGATGGGGAATCTCTACAGTCGACTGCGACATGGCTTTGCAGCAGCTGCGATGCTGCCTGCCATTTTTGTGTTGGTACCGTCGGGCCTCGCAGCCAGCGGTTCTCTGATCTCTGGTATTGCCGCCGCGGAACAGATCACGACGGTGCCGTCTCCATACTCACCAGTGTCCAACGGAACACAAGGTTTCGTTGATGCTGCCCAGAATATGACCAAGCCCGAGTATGACACCCAGTCCCACGGAATCGTTCTGGACATCGGGTATGGAATGATCCAGGTGGCAGTAGGCTTCACCGTCGGTCTGTTCTTAGCTGCTTTGGTCGTCTATCCACTGGGCAAAAAGCGAAGCGGGCTCTTCAGTTTCTAGAATACCTACCAAGTTGGCGACATGCGATTTATACAGCCCTCTTTCGCACCTATATACGTGAAGCGTACCTTTCTTCTTCTTGTTTCTTTGTTTTCTTTTTTTTTTTGTCTAGCATTACCGTCACGAAGCGAGTCTGTCGAGTTGTTTCAGCGTGAACTGTTTGGAGTGATCTCTTGCTTGATTCTAGCTATATAGTGTTGGCTCGACTGCCCTCTCTTTTCTCCAAGCCCTGTGGTTTCCAATTCTGTTGTTCTTGAGATTCTTGCATCTGTCGATAACCTCACTCTCTTTTTCTTTCTTCCTGCAGTCTGTGTCTGTGATCCACTCTGGGTAGTACTTTAGCAATGATGAGATTATATATTAGCTGTGGTCATCGATTTTGATCCTATATATAGTAGGTGCTTTGCTCGATCTAAGCCAATTTTTGTCGAACTTCTTCGCGCCTGCGCTGGCCTCTGCTTTCTTGTCCCAAGTTCCGTGTCCAGTCTCCATAGAACCTACAAGATATCCCCCTGCTGGGATACTTAAAACCACAGGCCACATACATTATAAGACAGCTAGAACTGCCCTCTCCTGGTCCTGTATAGGTAGACCAGCGGCCTCCTTAGTACCCCATCAACCTAACATGCATAAGTATCCCTGCGTGCAACGGGAGGTAAAATCGCTCCTACCATCCTGGATGAGGGGGAGGGGGTGACGCAAAGCTCCTTCACCTTCTTCTCCCTCCCTCCTTCCCTTGAATACTCAAGAAGGCAGGAAAGTAGCTACTGAGTCCACGGTCTACCCTGTGACATCAGCAAGCACTGTCACCAACAACCCAGTACTGTACAGCCAGTCCACCTCACCGTGTACAGCACAATTCAGTTCACATGACCTTCGACCCCCAACCCGGTGTGTGTCTCTTTCTCTGGAGACGACTCCGTCCAAGAAAACCTGGCCCTTCTACAGGAGACATCGAGAGTAGACGCTGCTCTATGGAGAGAAGGCGACAATTATGGAGACCGCGTGTTCGAATTGCAGGCTTCGTGTTCTGAGTGTATGTAATCGCGGGTTGGTTCAATAGTGCATCCGCTTGGCGTATCCGTACTAATCAGATGGAGTTGGGATATTGGTCTTAGCAATGGCATGGGGAATTCTTTCATGTATGTGCGGTACATAAGTGTTGGCCGTGTGTTGTAAAATGCTACTGTGGCGAGAAATCCTGCTCACCAAGGGGAGAGAGAATACGTCACACTGCTTAAGCTCCAGCAAGCAGTAAACTTCCTTGAGTAGGGCATTGATTCTCCAAATATGTAATTCAGTACTCATTGGAGACTCGTGTGTTTTCTCCTATGAGCTTTCAAATATTCTAACCCTAACTCCTACCGGCTCTCAATCAAACCTTGGCAGGGATGAACAAGCACAATGTTCTTTAGTCAGCAATATATCGAACAACCAACCAACCAGCCACGTAGTTTCCTTCGGTAGTTCAATGTTAAACAGTATTGAATTAACCCCGTCCCGCTCCATCCCGAGCGTCTCTAACACCAAAGGCGTGGCGTGCTCTTCAACCTCAGCTCCACCGGGCCATTCGAACCCTTCGAAATTGGATTCAACAATTATTCTGTTGACTTCAATATTACCTCTTGAGCTTCTTGAGCAGATTGTGAGCTGGCTTGAATATGAGAGTGACATAAATGCTCTCGCTCGTACCCATAGGGCTTTCTACCATTTTGGGAACCCGATGCTGTACCGACACAATGTGCGCCATGGGAAAGGCTCGGCGTTAGGCTGGGGGGTCCAACACGGAATCCTGGCGACCGTGCAACGAGCTTTTGAGGCCGGCGCCTCGGCAGAAAAATGCGGCGATGCCGAGATTGAATGGCGACCGATGGCGCTGGCGGTGGTCGAGGGCCACGAGGACATTGTGTGGTACCTGTATGAACACTGTGGGGTCAATATTCGTCGCACGTGGGGATGGATGAATCCTTGTCATGAGAGGTATGGCAAATATCCCGGCAGTCTGCTGCTGCTGGCCGCCCAGAATGGTCATGAGGGCCTCGTTCGCTTCTTCGTGAATCACCTCCCGCGGCCGTACCATGTCGATCATCCAGCGGATCCGGATGAAGGAACGCCGTTGATGGCGGCTGCTAAGGGGGGGCATCTAGCCATCGTACACCTGCTAGTCGAGGCGGGAGCGAATCTCGAGGTCCAGAATCGTAGTCAAATGACCCCGCTCATGTTAGCCGCGGCGCATGGTCATCAGGGGGTTCTACGGTTCTTGATGCAACGGGGCGCTGACCCCACTGTGACCCAACCGAACGGCTGCTCTGCCCTGTGCTGGGCAGCGGGCAGGGGGCACGTCGAGAGCGTTCGCTGCCTGCTTGAGGAGGATGTGATCACACGGTTGAGTTGCCATGAGTCGGGGCCGTCGGTGCGGCATCACGCGGCAATCTGCCCCCTTGAATGGAGCGGATGGTACAAGCACGATGAGGTAGTCGCTCTGCTTCTAGAGAAATGGGACTATGTAGCGAGGACGACTCACCCAGCACATAAGGGTGCACTCCTCTGCGTGGCTGCGGGGCATGGGTATACGGCCCTGGTTCGGGACCTGCTTGAAACGCATGGGTACGACCCTAATACTCGATTAAATATGGTTCGATCGCAGTTGGATGGACTGCCGACGGCTCTTTGCTGGGCTGCCGCCCAAGGCCGCGTAGAGGTGGTGGAGGTGCTCCTGGCGCATGATGCTGAGATACTGCCGGCTCAGGGATGGACACCTCGGCGGAAGCCTTTCGTCCAGGCTATTCTTCACGGTTCGGAGTATATGGTCTCTTTATTCCTGCGCGCCGGGGCAGATCCTAATGACCGGGATCTAGGTTCCGACTTTGACCGCACGGTGGCTCCGGCATTGAAGCATGCCATTCCATTCGAGGGTATCTTTCGCCGCCTGCTTGCCGCCGGAGCTGACCCTACCGCCGTCGACAGTATAAACATCTCAGTTATTGCTCATGCCCTAAGATCCGGCCGGACGGCACTCGTCCAAATGCTTATTGATGAGGGTCTGGATCTCTCGCTCTACTTGACTCACTCCAACCTGTTGCACGAAGCCGTGCGCGGGGGACGTGCAGTCCTCGAGCTTCTCCTCGCCGCCGGGAAATGGGATAGCTTACTCTTGCCCACCAATTTAGACTTATCCTCCCGCGAAAAGGCCCTTGGGATAGCCGCCGAGGCCGGCCAGGTCCAGACCTTGCGGTGGCTGTTAGATCGGGGGTTTCTTCCAGTTCGAGGACCCCAGTTGCCGCCGCCCACCGTCCATCTGCTGGGACTGGCGTCGTGCACGAACGCGGCGGATGCGGACGCCGCAACCATCCTCGATCTTCTCCTCCAGGCTGGTCTGAATATCAACGAGATCATCTCCCGCGAGACGGCGCTGACGCTTCTAGCTGATCGTTACTACTCGCGCGGAGAGCCCCAGCACGGTCGCCTACGCATGCGCATGCTGCTTGAGCGCGGTGCCAACTTGTTGCCGCCGCAAAGCCTCCCGCGAGCCACGCGCTACCACACCGTCTCGCGGTTCGATCTCAACCTGATCGGTCGGCACCCCGACCTAGATGAGATGGTCTTTCAGGAGCTGGAGACGCGGCGCGAGCCGTGGCCGGTGGTCGAGCGTCTGTTCCGGTGGGCGAAGACTTGCGCGCGCGAGCGTCGGAATCCGGAATTCCTCCGGACAATCGAGCAGTACTCGTGGCGAGTGCGGTATCCTGTTTGAATGTGCTTCCATTGCTAGACCTCGTCATCATGTTAGAAAACCTTCGCGTACGGGACATCGTAAATGGGACAAACAAGCTGCAGGATGCATTCTGACGAGGTTCCTAGGGTTAATGACACTATTGCATAGTTGATAGGAAGTGTTGCGTGTTAACTAGCGTTCTGAGATCTGTTGCTATGTGTGCGGCTTCGCGACCTAGCCTAGACTTCGTCTCACAGAGGCAGTCAGCGAGATAGAGAGTTCTGTAAATATGCTAGCAGGTATTGTATATATCGGTCCGTCGTACCCAGTATATAGATAGATGTTAAACTATTTAGATGTTAAACTATTATAGTACAATATAAATATTATTTAGATAGGATCTAGCAGTACTTACCTGATATTAGATGTATATATATTAGAGTGGCTTAACCTGTGTTAAGAGAGAATGGGTCGGTTAGGTATAGAATAGTAGCAGTCCATTAATTTTAAGACTAATCCTTACTATTCTAAAGGTATAGCTAGAGTGGCTAACAGCCAGGTCAGGTCAGGTTAATTGGAATTTTTATACCTAACCGCCAGGTTATAGCTAGATTAAGAATATTTTTATATCTGACTACAGTTTAGCTAAGAATTAGATAGTTAACTGTTTTAATTATTTTTAGTACTAAAATCTATCTGCTATACTAGAGTGGCTAACGGCCAGGTCAGGTCAGGTTAATTAGAATTTTTATACCTAACTGCCAGATTATAGCCAGATTAAAAAAATTTTTATATTTAACTATAGTATAGCTAAAAATTAAATAGTAAATTATTTTAATTATTTTTAATACTAAGTTTTATCTACTATACCTTTTTTAGCTTTAATATAGTTAAAGTATATTTAGATTAATAGGTTATTAATCTAATTATTTTAACTATTATTTAAAAGTATATAAAAAAAACTTTTTAAATTAATTAAAAATAACTAAATAAAGTATTACTATTTTTTTATTTTTATTTTTTAAAAAGTAATAAGAAATTTTTAATAATACTAATAAATTCCAGCTTTTTAGAAAATTATTACTTTTATAGTAAAAAAAATATATATATAAATATATAATTATAGTATTATTTAGACTGTATATAATATAATATAAATTTTTATATTTAATTTAATTAACTTTTTTCAATTCTAATAGTTTTAATTATTCTGCTTAGAGTGGCTTAACCTGACTGTTATACCTTAACCTTAACCTGGCCATAACCTGGCAGTCAGATTAAAATATAAAAAATTTTTAACTGTATAGTTATAATTAGGTTAAAATATAACTATTACTTTAACTATTTATATCTACAGATTAGAAAGATTAGATATAGCAGATAGGTTAATAACCACAGATTAATTTATAATATATATATTCATTTTATATAAATAATTAGAGTGGCTTAACCTGACTGTTATACCTTAACCTTAACCTGGCCATAACCTGGCAGTCAGGTTAAGATATAAAAAACTTTTAACTATATAGTTATAGTTAGATTAAAATATAATTATTACTTTAACTGTTTATATCTATGAGTTAGAAAGATTAGATATAGCAGATAGGTTAATAACTAACAGGTTAATTTATAATATATATATTCTTTTTATATAAATAATATATAAAATATAATATATTTTTAATTATAGTATAATAATAATCAAACCCATGTGACTATAATCGACAATAGGTATGGGTCGTTCATAATGCACGGTAGGAATAAAGGGTCCCTTTGAATATATTCTTGATTGGGGCATACCCTTGACCCTGTATCACATACTTGCTGGCTACAGCATCAGTGCCAGCGAGTGGGACACTCCAAGTATATGTGTAACCATCCTGAGACTGGGTCGCTTCACCGATAGAGGTCCACGTCCAATCCGCATTGGCTTTGCTAGTGTCGTCCCAAGCGCCACTGTATTTGTAAAGGCCGGAGTAAAAGTCATTCCCTTCAACAAGGTAGTTGACAACCTCATGCCACGCGACACCTTGAGCGTCCACGCCTGGCACCTCCTAATTTAGTCTTCCCTCTAACCATTGTGTTAATTTCATAGCAAACAGGCATGTATTGTTTGCATCTCCAGCTCGCGCATCGACCTTAAAAGTCCACATTCCAGTCCTTAAAAACATTGTAAGAAATTGGAAATCTAGTAAAATCTCACTGCAGTTGCTACTGGGCATATAGTCAACCTGAACCCCAAAGGTATCACGAATAGTAAGATGAGCTAGATTATTAAAGGGTGTAGTCTTTAATGGCCCTGTAGTAGAGTCTTCATCATCGTGACTACCATCCGGGTAGACAACAGAGGCGCTTATTTTCAGAGTTGCATTAATAAGAGCCTCGTCGGGAAGCACCAGCTCCTTCTTCTTAGACTCGGGTAAACAACCGCGGAGGTAGACGAAGAAGACACGGTCACTTTATCCGGCTGTCAATATCGAAAAAATGAAAAGAGAAAAAAAGGTGGGGGTATCTCACGCGATAATAGGAGTCGGAGCGATCTCAAGGAACTCGATCTTGAATATCTGGTCATTTTCAGGCACGGTGTCGTAGGTGGCATCGTTGTGGCCGGGGACTCGGTTGTCCAGTTGGGCCATTGTATACTGTGTGGGGTCGGTCGGCAAGAGTAGCGAGTGCAGCGGTGCAAGTACAAAGAGACAATGTTTGTAGGAGAATTGATTTCATCGTGTCGTGGCGTTGAGACAGCTTAGGACGAAATAGCAACAAGGGACGAGAGGAGGGATGGCTTTATGTCACTTGACTGCCTACTACGCTAACTAGGTACTAGTACGAGTTTGGAAACTGCCTCTCGATGGTACGGTAGTTTACTACGCACGGGGCCCGGCGGAGAGGGACAGGGTCTAAATGCCAAGACTTTATGTGACCCTTCGGAGCCGGTGGTCCCGAAGTAAAGCTAACGTGTTGCGTACTCGAACTCTAAAATCGCGCCAAAGAAGACCGGTCTTGACAAGTGCTTACTCGGCCCAAGTGTGGATTCTGAGCCAGTACTTGTATCTGCCCTCTTTTTTCTACCTGTGCAACTGCGGTATTGAGTTGCGTTCAACACGCGACTATCTTTAGGTACTCAGATCTTGCCTATTTAACAGCAATAATGATCAACTGTTTTACCAGAACAAATTTGCGCTTAGTAGCTTATTCGTACAAACAAGAAGGAATAGTTTGTTAAGGGAAAATGGGTCAGTTAGGTATAGAATAGTAGCAGTCTATTGATTTTAAGACTAATCCTTGCCTTTCTAAAGATATAGCAAGGTTCTAGAAGTTAAATACTAGAGAAGGAAGAAGTTGTTAATATTACAACCCTTTTATTACAAATATATAAAGAAGTTGTTAGTAGTTTATTATACTTTTAAAAATTACTTATAATAATTAGGCTTTTTTTATATACAGCTGTTTTTAGCAGTATAATAGCAGTATAATAATACTGTTTTAATAGATAAGCTAACCTATTTAGTAAATATAGTTGTACTAAACAGAATTTTTCTAAAGCTAGTTTTAGTTAAATACAGTTATTATAATTTAATACTATTCTGCTTTAGAAATATTATTATTTTTTAATTATATTATTAATAATATAAGTATATTTTATATATTTTTTAATATTCTTAATATCCTTATTATTATTTGTTTTATATTAAAAAGCCTGTATTTTCCTATCATTTTTATTACTGTTTATTTATCGTAAGATATATATAATATTTATATTTTATATTTTTTAATATTATTAAAATACTAACAGATTACTGTAAACTTACTAATAAATTACAATATTTATATTATTAATTTTCTACCCCCTAGCGAAGATTCTTTTTTATCTAGATATTTTTTTATTTAAAATATTTGTAAACTTTAGTAAAAAGAACTATATACTAAATTTAAAAGATAAACTTAAACTAAGCTATATTTTTAATATAGTATTATCTGTAAAGTACTACTAATACATAGCAGGCCAAGGAGGTCTGTATAGAGCCTTTTTTACTGTTAATAATAGTAGTACTTAGTTATAAAGAGTAGTTATTAGTTATTATACAGTTGTAATATAGTTATAATACAGTTAAAGTACAGTTAGAATACAGTTATAGTAGTAAAAAAATAGTTTTAAAATAATAAATATTATTATATAATTAAAAGAGTATATTACAGAACTGTATATAACTAGTATTAAAAGTAGATTACTTAATAATTAATTTTAATACTAATAGTTATTTTAAATATTATATAAGTTACTTATAGTTTATTTTTATATTAGATTAGTTATCTCTCTATTATATAACTATAGACTAAGAAGTAATAATAGTACTATTAAGATTTCTAAATATATAAAATAGTTTTTTATAATATAAAAATAATCAAAATCTTTATAATACTTTATATAAAGTTAATATTCTATATACACTGTATCAAAACTATTAAAATTAGGAAAATATAAGCAGACTTTTATAAAAAAATCTAATATAAATATTTTTTAATATTAGAATTAGATTTTATTAGAGTCTATTTACTTAAATATTTAAAATAAAAAAATAATAATAGAAAATCTTTTGAAATTACTTATAAAGGTTTTATAAGAAGAAATACTAAATATTAATAACTAAAATAATATATAATCCTATAAAAAAGATAAAATAAAATAGAATAATATTAAATAAATAATTAACTATAAAGTAGATGGAAACTAATAAATATTAGTAAGTATAATATAAAAAATATAAAAAACCATAGACTAACTATTTAGAAATTCTAATATAACAAAAAATAGTATTATACTATTATACTAGATTGCAATACTTTAAGAGTACTCTGTTAAATATATTAGTAAGAATATTTTAAAAATTTAGTTTATTAAATAAATCTTTAGTTTTTTAAAATTTTAGTTATTTAAACAGAATATATTTCTTAATTATAAAATTATATTTATTCGGTAGAATATAGTAATTTAAAAGCTATAAATACAACTAGTAGATTTTAAAATTAATTAAACTTAAATAAAAAGATTATAGTTCTAAGTACTACTAAATCTAAGTTATAAAAACTGTTAAATCTAATTTATTTAAAAAAAATAGATTATAAGATTATATAGCAAGGCCTAATCTGCCCAGATCTTATAAATTCTAAAAATAAAAATAAAAGTATTTAAAATTAAAATTCTAGATAGTAGAAAAGTTATTTTATATTTATTTATATTTATATTTTTTATTTAGTATATTATAGTTTATTAATAGCCTATACTCTGTAGTAAATAATAAAAAATATATTTTAATATAAATATTTAGAATAGCAATATTTTAAAGTTATTTATTTTTTAAAACTAGTAGTTTATCTATAAATAGTTAGCTAGTTATTTATATTATAAAAGTAAAATATATTACTATTAGATATCAATCTTTTTAGATTTTAAGATTTAAATAATAAAGTAACTGTAATAAAATACTAAAAAGCTTTTTAACTGTATATAATAAATTAGAATATTATTAAAATTAAAATAGTATAATATATTAAAATTACTAAAATCTTTTAAATAATAACAGCACAGATCTGGATAATATATTTTTAGTAATAAACTTAGTTTAATTTATAAATAAAATATTAGAAGCAGAACTAAAGTATATTTAAAATATTTTTAATAAAACTAAGTTTTATTAGTTTTATATTATAAGACTAGTAGAAGTAGAACAAGTACTTATTTAAATTTAGATAATATTTATATTTAAAAATATTTAAATACTGGAAGATGAAACTAATAAATAGATCTAATAATTTTCTAGAATACTATAAAATATTTTTTATATCTTATAAATTTAAAATTTAAAGTATAAAGTTTTGAAAACAGAGACCAAAACTTTTTTAGTTTAAATAAAAAATATTATACAGTTAATTAAAAATAAGATTTTGTAATAGTATAAGTAATTTAAGTAGTAATAGATAAGGCAATAAATTTTTTAGACTAAAAAACTAAATCTACTTAGCAGATAAGAAAAGACTTTTTATATACTTTTAAAATAACTTAATCTTAAAATAATACTAACTGTATAAAAAAAGTTAAACTGTAAGTTATATCTATTATTTTCTAGATAATTGTTGTACAATACCTGTGGCATGCGGCCGCCAGCCCCTACTCCAATACTGATATTATTACTGATTTGTCGGGCTTCCAATCTGGGTTTTTATATTAGTATAAAGCTGATCCCTTTTTTTTAAAATATATATAAGTACTTAAAATCCTTAGAGGATTAGGAATTCCTAAGGATTAGTTTTATAATTAATAGAAGACTATTTCTAACTGCTTTTATCTTATCTAACCAATGTGTCTACTGTATTAAGTAGTTTTTAATAATTTCTAATCTTTCTATTTTTTTAATTATTTAAAAAAAAGTAGTATATTTTTTACTAAATTTTTACTAAAATCCCCCCAGAGTACTTTATCTGCTTTAGAATAGAATTATTTTATATAAGCAGATATTTAAAAAGTAGAAGCTACTATCTACTAATTAAAACAGTTAAAATATTTAAAAAAGTAGGTTTAAACTGTATTAACTAAATATAGAGCTATTAAACTTTTAGTAGAAATAAGTTAATATTATATAAGTTATATTTTATTTTCTAAAAAGAAAAAAAAAGAAATTAAATTTAAACAAATCCTTATATTCTCTTTTTAATTCAGCCTATAATAAAGAACTAAATGGATTTATAACTTATAACATATTTTTAAAAACACTTTTTAAAAGTACTAAACTAAAAACTAAAAGGTTTTAGCTGTAGTTAGCTATCTAAACTCTACCTATCAGCAGAGATAGTATTAATATATTAATAAAAAATCACTAAAAGACTGTAGAAGAGCTAAAAAATTATAGGATTATTTTATCTAATAAACTTTTTTTTATTTAAAATACTGTTATTTTATAATCTAATACTATAGAACAGCTTAAACAGACCTATTAGTAAAAAGATTAAGATCTAAAAGAGTTTTATTTTTATTTAGATATTTTAAAACAATATTTTAAATCAAAATAAGAAAATAAATATATTTTATTTTTTTTAAGTTAGTACTAAAGCTTAGTTGATATATATATAAATATATATTAAAACTATTAGAAACTTAAAAAAAGATAGTATTTATTACTACTTATTACTGGAATATGCTGATCTGTAAGAGAAAATAGAAGTTAGATATTTAAAACTATTCTAATAAGAATTTTAAAAAACTAAGATTCTTATAACAAAACTATAAGTCTTTTTTATTAAAATCCTATTAAAATAAAAAGAACTATAAGGGGGAAATACTCTATTATTATATATATAATAGTAAATTTTATTTTTTAAATTATTACCCTTAAAAGGGCCAAGACAGAACTAAAAAAGAACTAATAAAAAAAGAACTCAGTTAAAAAAGTCCCTATATTTTTAACTAAATAGCCTAAAGTAGGGACTGTTACTTATTTTACTATACCTATTTTTTTTAAAATATTTTTAAAACCTATATAGATTTGGATTTATATACTAAAGTTAATCTAATCAGCTACTAATTTATTTTATAGTTTTATTTAAATATAGCTTATTTTACAGCTTTATTAATTATTACTATTAATTACCTT